TGTGCTCAAACTCAACGATGCACTCACTTTACATGGACTCAGTATAACGGTGGTACTTGTTGGATGAAATCGGGTACGGTTTCCAAAAGTGATGCATTCTCAACCAATGATTCAACTATGGTCTGTGGTGTAGTGGGAGGTAGGAGATACTATTTTGATGATGAATAAAATGAAAAGTAGTCATTTTTTTCTTTTTCTCATAATTTTAAATTGCATCAACATGGACGATTTGATACTACGAAATAGTATCGATGTGTTCCAGACAATGATGATATTTCACAAAACTATTATTTGAATAAACATTTCTTTGTTTTGTTATTTTGCATTTGCAATATCTTGATACTATCAAGAACTTGAAATGATCGCTCTCAGTTCTTAGAAGCTCATGAGTTAATCCATGAATATAAAATATTTCGTAACTGCTATTGTTGATTCATACAATAAATGACATCTGTTATTATTGACAATACACTAAATTGCTAAAAAGAAAGTGTTGAGACAGCAATAAGCCATTCTATCTCCCCTAGACTCATAATACTGCCACTGAAAGAAAGAGAAAGATAATATTTTTCTCAAGTAAGAAATTATGATATTATTCTTCATTCAAAGAGTATATTCGACGTGTGTAGTGTGGGGGGATATAAAAAAACCGAATTCAAATCTATTTCTTTTCTTATCTACTTTCATAATGCTGACTCAAGCATTTAATCTGCCGTTGTCGCATGTGGAAATAAATTAATACCGATAAGACAAAGAAAACAAAAATAAGAAAAATATTCAGATACATAGAAATATCATTGATTTACATGTATCTTGTTTTAGCAGAGGACAATACTAAATGGGTTCGCGTATGGGAAGATAACTTCAATTGGAACGGTAGAGTCGATCCTCGTAAATGGGACTTTGATGTCGGTGGAAATGGCTGGGGTAAATATATTTTTTTTGTTCAATCTGTATCTTTTGTATCATGTATATACGTCACTAATTTAGGCAACAATGAGCAACAATATTACACAAATAATCGATTGAAAAATGCACGTTGTAAACGATTTCCAGGCAGTACCAATGGTCGTCTTATTATTGAGGCACGTCGGGTAAGACTAGAGCAAGAAATTGTATTGAATCTATCTTGTACATATATTTTTTTTTTAAGGAAAACATGACAAATTATCAGTTTACTTCGGCTCGTCTCAAGAGCAAGCGTAAATGGAGATATGGCCGTTTGCAAATTCGTGCCAAATTACCTGATGGTCGTGGTCTATGGTCAGCTCTTTGGATGGTAACTACTTATTGAATTTCTTTTTTTTAATCTATATAAAACACACGATAGTTGCCGAAAAAGCAAACATATGGTAATACCTATTGGCCAGATAATGGTGAAATTGATTTGATGGAACAAGTTGGTTATGATCCATTAAGTATTCACTCAACTGTACACACACAAGCATATAATCATATAAAAGGCAATCAACCAACTAATGCCATAACTGTCAATGATGCTGTTTCAAATTTTAAAATTTATACACTTGATTGGAATGTGAATAAAATTGAAATGTTCGTTGGAGATGATAAAAATCCATTCGCTAATCGTATCTTAGTTTGGAATAAACAAGGCAATTGGACACAATGGTAAGATATTAATTTCCACGATGGAAATATTTGAAACAGATAAAATTTCAAAAAAATTTGTACTATTTTTAGGCCATTTGATAAACCATTCTTTCTTATTATCAATATTGCTGTGGGTGGTACTTGGTGAGTATATCAAAACTGACATGAAAAGTTTTTAAAAATCTGAATTTTATTTTTGGTAATATCTCAAAATTTCGAATACTCTTCCATGATTAATATCATACAATTAATACACAGATATACCCAAAAAAAAAGAAAGTTCATTTCTTCTCGATTTATAAAAAGCGAAGAATCATTGGGGAATACTACTTGCAATTGATCTCATCATGATCAAACCGAATATGATTCATTTGTTAAACAGATTGTTCGCTTTTAATTGTTAAAAATAAAATACAATCGTTCTAGAGATGATAGTGAGAGAAAGTATCAAATGTCTGGATGATGACCTTACCAGAGAATGATCCATCGTTCATTAGATCATATGATGTTGAATAAAAAAGGAACTGTCGGCAACTTCTCAAATTTAGCGAAGAAGAGACAGATTTCGAAACATATTCATTTTTTTTTGCAGGGGTGGTGCACTAGGTATCGATTACAATATTTTTCCTCGTCGAATGGAAGTGGATTGGGTGCGTGTTTATCAGCGATGCTAAATATCTGAATATACACATACGCTTCACTCTATTCAACTCGTTTTCTTTTTTTTTTATGATGAATTTAAAAAAAGAAAGAAAGAAATATTGAATAATCAACATTATTTGTTTCTTCATTTTCTGGCATCTCTTTCATGCGTTCGTATTCATTGATCAACCATGTATGTTGGATATTATTGAAATAAAATACCAATGTAGTAGGAGTTAACTTAAACTACTCTCAATGAACTATTTGCACTAATGAACGACAGTAGTGTCGATTTGTGTTCTCAGAATATATTTGATCTCGATATTTATACTAGAATGATACAAAATACATCCTTACGGAATGTTTCGATTCAGGTGAAATTCGTTCATTCTAATCAAAAAGCACTTAATATCAAGTATTTACAGTTGATTCAAACATTGAGACTATTTTAACAAGTATAGGCGCGGAAAAAATTCTGGTAAAAATATCATGTCGCATGGAAGTAAAGTTCTCTAAAAATATAAAGATTTTGTGCTGCACTATTCATATCAGTCTTTTCTATTGAGCACGATACTTGCATGTTCACCAATGACACATAAACATTTGTCAATCCCACTCATATATGTCTTCTATAACTATGTCGCCAAGCAATGTGTACTATTTATTAGTTTGCGGTAATCATGGTAATTGTGTAATGCATGTCCGATTCGATCAGAAGACTTCGATTACTCATTAGATACTGTCTGTCTAGATATTGTAAATAATTGATCTATTCACTAGTGTTCATGTACGAGATAAGATAATACTGAATCTGACATGATAGTATCGTCGATGAATGTTCAATATAACAATTCAATTGGAATTGAAAAATTCTCATAGCAAGCTCACTTCATCTTTTTTTTTCATGACTATTCAAATTGCAGGCCATTTTCCATAAATGAAATGAAGTATAACATCAGTTTTAAACAGAAACGATAAAGAAAAAACATCAAATCATCAATCAGTAGAAATGATACTTTTGTAGAAAGGCACTAAGAAAATTATATTTTGATGAAAAACCCAACATGAATAGCTAATTTTCAACACCCCTTTAGTTCAGATAAAAGTACCTCAATATTTATCACCCATATTGTACAACACGACCCGTAAACAATCGTAAACGACTGTCGTTACGATGATCGTTTACGTACTAGCTGAAACAATTCGCGTTACGATCGCCGTTTCACACTATTTTTCATCGTTTTAACATAAGTATCTTAAAACCATCATTAGACACTTTCTCATGGTCTATAATCGTTTGATCACTACCTATTAAAAAATTAATAATATTTTTTTTTATTCAGATTTCTTCCACCATCTAGTACAATAGTAAGCATTTTATTTAAATTTATCTCAATCAAATGCTCAAGAGTAAGTATTTTATTTAAATAAACAAATTTTGATTCTTGTTTACGGAAGGGGAGGAGAAGAGAAGAAAATCGTGTTCGTCTTCATTAAGGAGACACTTATGTGAATATGGTGACAAATGATGTTGTATACGACAATTAGCAACTGTCATAATACTCGTCCTGGAGCAGTACATAAATAGAGCCATAAACGAGAAAAAAAAACCGGTATAAATAAGATACTATACGATGAGAATGTGGCCCTGATACTACTCATCGTTACTCGTCGGAGACGACCTTAAACGATGTCGTTTACGTTTCGAGAAAAAACGGCTCGTAATCCGAACTGACGGAAAACAGTCAAAACATGATGGAAAGCGACGGTCGGAATGATCGACCTGAGCAGGTGAAAATCATATATCGCTCATCCGATTAACGTACGAAAATAAGTCATCGTTTCATCAGTCTGTTTGCACATGGATGTGCTATATATTGTAATGAAAAAATCCTGTTTTTCAAAGATTACGAAGCATTTTACCAATATAATACACATATAGCTACTGTCATTATGAGGGCATCATATGAAGCATGGTAGAAAACTACTAGATTTCAATCAACTTTTATTTCATTGGAAGTAAACTAACAATGTGTTTACATTTTTCTTAGTAAAAAAACGACAGAAAATTGTAATAAATAAAATATCCATTTCTCATAATGTCATTAATATATGTCAAAAACCTTTTTCTCCTTGTTTTCTGATGAAAAGCAGTTGATTAAAATATCCTTATTCATATATGTTTACAACTACTCGTATTCATCTTTTCTTTTTTCTCTTCAGTAATACAATACGAAGAAAAAAAAACCTACAATCATATTGCTAGATAGTTGCCTTTTTTTTTCTCGTATTCTCTTTTTATGTTTCTCATTCCAGAGAAAGATCGAGAGAAAACACACTGATTTCTATACTATAAATCATTAGAAACCAAGAAATCAATTTATTTCTCATTGAGCAAGATAGACATTTACTTCAAATATAAAAAAAAAACTCTCTCTTCAGTGACATATGTTGTCTGATCAATAATATTTCGACAATATGACCGACCCATCTATGGTAACAATTTCAAGCACTGCTCACGGAAAAACAAATTTTAGCAGAAAACTGTGGCATTGGATAAAGCTGTTGTAATAATAATAGAAATATTCTTCATTATCCTATTCTTCAACTATTTATTTTTATTCATGTTACTTGGCCGAAGTCTTTATTGAAAATTTATACAATGTGGCCCGAAAGTAAGGAAACACAGAAATTTTTTAATTTCTTCTTTGTGTATGGTCAGTTAGGCCTCATATATACATCACATATACTAGGTGATACTATTAAAAGACGTAGTATATGATCGGTAAGAGAAATTCGATGTTTTTTGAGTTCTATAATTTTGTGTGCTTTAAGGATTCATTTTACAGATTGAAATAAGTACATAAAACTATAGGATTCGACAGATATCGAATTTCTCTTACACTTACAGATGAGCAGTAAGATTTCTTTGTACATTTGAATAAAAAAAAATGTATATAAACACTTTAAAATAATGGCACACCAGAAAAATATCCAAAAAGCTCTTTTTAAAGTTCAAGGAAAAAGTTTGTCACCACAGATGCTCTGAAGTTGACATGTGGAATTCATATATTCCATATAAACTAGCAGATAATTTAGTATAAATTTTTGTTTAATGTAATGAAATAGATTATAACGATATTTCTCACAAATTGAAACAAGTTACATAGAGACACGAAAGCATCAACTACGATAAGAGAAAAATATTATCTCACTATTACTAATATCCACGCCAGAATTAAAGAGAGATGGTTATAAGCTTAATAACTCGATAATGATAACAGTTAGCTACATAGAGTTTCCAGTCATTCAAAGAGGAGAACGTCGGACATCTTTTCATAAGACAAAATTATTTTAAAATTCAGCATCTCTCGAAAACATCCCAAAAAACAATGCATAAAAATAATGTTCCAATGATTCTCTTCCCATATATCAATGTTTGACAAACAAAATTTCATATCTATTCGATCAAATTATATAGAAACCGAATTTACGACGTAAATGAATTACAAAGTAATTCAAAATTTCTATACATTATAGATAAGACTTATTTAAAGAATCTACTAGGATCTAACACTGTTAACAAGAGTTTCTGTACACCCTTCTTTTGAATTATTTTGTAATTCATTTGTGTCATTCAATGTAAAACCGTAGATCGCTAGATGTTGCCGTTGTCGAGTTCTTGAGATTATATCCATCTCTCTTTAATTTTAGTGCGGGGATTAATGCACATATTAGTGGTCTTAATTCTACACTCTTTCCTTTACTTGCTTCTCTGTGTTTAATCTGAATATTTCAATCGATGTTATTCATCAGCCAAATTTCTTACTTTTCTATGCGTAGTTATAATTGAGAGCAGAATTAAAATGATTGATTTATACGTAAAAACTTCGACTTAAAACTTATAGGCATTGTTTTCTTCGAACATATATGTGAGTTCTGCAAAAAAAGCAATTCAGTGCTTTTATTCTTAATTTACGGCATTAAGATCGATTGATATCAAATTGATACTTCTGATCAGAGTTTTTACTGAGCTCTGTTTGTAGTAAAAAATATCAAGCACAAAAAAAGATCGATTCCCGTCGTCTATATTTATTAGACATCATTTAGACTTAATATCATAATTCATATAAATAATGTCACATTCTTTTTCTCTTTCTGTCTTTATCAAACATTTTATCGCACTTCAATCATATGGCTATGAAAAATCAAAGTATCAATCCTTTTCTATTATTGTCATTATATACTTTTGTTGGTCTATGTATTACCTTGAAATTCAAACATTGTCTATATACTTCAAAATGTACAAATATTTCGATTTATGTGCTTCTATGTCGTTTGATTAAAAAAAAAAAAGAAATTTTTTTTTAATTTTTTACAAAATCAAGATTTTTCTAATCAACATTTTTGAATTAATATCTTTCTTTTTTCACTATGAGAAAAGGAAAAACAAAAAAAAAGATGATCATCCAATTGTTGTGTGTTTTCTTTTTCGTGTTTATATCATGATTATCATCATTTTTGTAAAATCATTCGGTCATTATATTCTATTCGCAACAAGACAGACAAGCAACATATATATATATCAAATCTTTGTACATATAAATGCATTTACCCCATTAAACATAAACATCACATTAATCGACTGTCTCTTTTTTGCGTAGACAAGAGATATATACATCAGATTATACGACATGACCGTCTTCTTTAACTTGTATCTTATGAATATAGATGATATTATTCTATTTATGAAAAGAAATAGAAAATTTTCTGTTCTAGATTTATTTGATATGCCAAATTGGAAAATAAATTGTTTGAAAAGTGAAGATGGTGCAGTTGGATCATCAATAATAGGTAAAATATGATTGTAATTGAGTATTAAATTTTAATTAAGATTATCTTCTCTCCTTGTCACGATTTCTAGAGAACGAATCTATCAAGAAAATTTGAAATTTATATAGCAGATAAATCTTAACAAATGGAGCAAAAATTGTCATAGATGTAAAGTCCTTGAATGTTGTCTTTTATGAGATACTAGGATTAAAATAGCGAAAAATAGTTACCTCGTTTTTTCTATCAAGCTAAAAATTTAGTTACAGACACCAGATACAGTTTGTCCTTCGAATAGGAAAAGCTAAAATATCAAAGGTACCTCAAGAAAAATATACATTTTTTATTAAAGGTTTTTTTGTAAGAGTTATCAAAATACACAAAAAAAACATATCTATCCCACAGAGTGTATAGTATATGTCAAAAAAAGTTTTAACTCGATGGAACATACACAGAAATAGAAGTATTTCTGCATTTCTTTTTTCAGGAAAAACTGTTTGATTTAAGAAAAACATGATTCGTTATTTAATTTCTCGTCGAATTTTTCAAACGTTTAGAGTCAGTTTTTAGATCTTAAAACGTATTCAGTAGATAATAGATACTATTTCAGACTATACAATGGCTATATAAAAAGAAAAGTTTTAGATCACGAAAGCAGAGGCAAGGATTATCTTCAAATAATACTATGTTTAAAAAAAGATACTATAGGCAAAGAATAATTATATTAATAATAATAAAAAAAAAAGACTTAATCGATCATTGATCTTGTTTATTTGTCATCTAAAAAAATCGATTAACCTTATTACTAAACGAGTAATTGACATTGAACTTCAAAGAACAATTGATTGATGAACTGTGAAAAATAAATTTACACCATTTTATTTCTAGAACCTTCAAATACGTCAGCAACTACTGTTGATTTACACAATTTATCTTCATCAATAACTTATCTTTCACCGATTTGTAAGATTCTTTTCTCTTTTTCTTTATGAATCTAAAAGAAATATTGATAATATGATAGTATATGAAATGATAAGAAATAGCTGAAATAATTATATATATACATATAGAATAAGATATAACGAAGAAGATATTCAATAAATGTTAAATAAGTCTGCTTAATAGGCTATTGGCATCTTGTCTTTATCCTTCTGTTTTTTTTTTTTTAGCATAAGGAAATAATATGTATCTTTCTCTCGATATGCCGTCTCTATTATTAGACAGCATAGTACTGAATAATTTATTTTTGTTCATATATTCACCAGGTTTTTTTTTTCTGCACGCACTATATATATATATATATATATTCTACAAAAGATAGATCAAACAAAATGGAAGACATTGTGATGATGGTATTACTAACATATGTGTCAGTAGTTTGTTTTACGAGTACTATTGACCTTCTAGTACATACGATGAATAGTATGAGTTCGTTACTTAGATTTATCAGTCTCATAAGACATAATCTTGATTTATAGATAGACAAAAAAAAAAAAAAAAACCTTATTACATAGATTAGAGAATAGAAAAAGTAATGAAGTAATGAATTTGAATCATCAATTATCAACATTTGAGTTATCATCATCATTACCTACAATGGTAGCAACTACAAAAAATTCATCTTTATTCGAACGTCGTTTAGCTAAATATCGTTCATTATCATATTTTTGGTTTCGTACATGTACATCTTCTAAACGACATTCAATGTTTGATAAAAAAAATACAATATTTATTTCAATTAATAATTTCGGTAAGTTAGAAATATAATATCCTTGATACTTGAAAATTATCAATAATAATAAAAAAAAAAAGAGACAGAATAACTTAATACAATTTACCACAAGGATATTGAAGGTTTTTGTTTTATATTTCCCAAAACACACTGATCAATCTTTCATTGCTATCTATAAAAATCTTGTTTATGATGATAGATAACTGTCAAGAATAATAAGGTATTAAGTGACATGAGCCATAGTTAATAAAATTGAACTTTTTTCATAAATATAATTTAACTTTATAAAAGTACTAATATATATATATATATATATAGAATTGTATTCATAAACATGATTTTATTCGTAACTAGGCAATATACCTATTTCTTTTGCATGTATATTTTGTAAATGGTTTTATCCTTCAATATGTGTCTATAAAAAGACTCGAGGTGTTAGTAGAAGGATAAGAATAAAATTAAAAAAAAAATGTTATAATTTATTTCTATTGCTTTTATAATCGACAATATATAAGTAAGAGACACTTGTCATTGCCATTAGTACTGACAGAATCAATATTTTTTATTCATTCCAATTAGTTATAGACATAAGATGCAATCGATGTGTTGATGACTATTTCACTGATCAATCATAATTGTTGAAGGACTGTCATATAAAGTGTAAAAAAAAAAAAAAAGATGCAACTCTATCGAGTTCTTTCTTCTTCTTCTTCTTTTTTTTCTTTTTCTTTTGATTCATTTTTCGTATTGATAAACGTACTATAAATAGAGATAGTGTTGACAATGACCTTTAGTCAAGTGTCTTAGTTCTTCGCTCTTCGTTATGCTCAATGAACATAAATATTGATTAATCGATCAATATCAAACATAAGTACATAAATATATGAATATTTTCATTTCATATCATTTCTATCGTCTAGTATATTAAATGGTACTTAAATTGAATATGTTGTGTGGTTCAACAAAAAAATCCAAAAAAAAGTTTGAAACGAATATTAAACGTAAAAAAATAGACTCAAATGTTAAGGGTAAGTTGATTAGTATTATTCAAATGTTGACAAGTTAATAAGACAATTATATCCTTAAATAAATAGATTCAATGTTGATATATAGTTTCATATTACACAGTTACATCAAATAAGTTTAGAATGAACCTTCTCTTTTCTTTTTTTACCATAGATGATTAAGTAATAGGTTATATTTTTAGAAATAATATTTGAAGAGTTTTGAATGCATTATTTACATTTACAAAAGAAGAATAAATGTGAACGCAAGAAGCCAACCTCTTCTAGAAGGTTAACAAGAATACTTATAAAAAAGAAAAAACTGAAGACAAACAATATATATATATATATATATTTTGTTCTCAGATTAATTAACATAATAAGTAGAAAGACATGATGACGAACAAAAAAAAAAGAAACCACCTTGACAGTTTTGTAATAATAATTCTGCAATCGATTGATCATTGCACGATCTAATGACTTTGTTTTATATGCATATGCTATACACTCGAAAGATCAACTTTTTTTTTTCTTTTCTTCATCTGCATTGCATTGCATATGTACAAACACATTTTGATGCATGCAGATGATGATGGTAATACTTTATAATGTAGTACATTGCAGATAGGCATAGCATGTTGTGCGAATAAGTAACAGGGTGTTATCGAACACAGTAGTATATGTACGTAACTAACGAGTTCAAAGGCAAACGGAGAGGAAGAGCAAGAAAGAAAAATGGAAGGGTAAAAGAAAACACTCAATGCCAACAAAGAAATACAAGAGAAGAGAAGAGAGAGAGAGAGAGAGTGAAGTGACACTTGTCCTCTTCTTTGTCCTATAACCATGAATTGAACCCGCCTACTACTATTCAATGCATTGCACCTTTTTACATACTCAAAATAAAGAAGTGGGGATGAGCTGTGAAAACGGCAGTTCGTTATGGGATTTAAAACGAGCTATAGGAATGTGTAAATGGGTTGCATCTAGTCCAGTAGCTTCTTTACGTGGTATTAAAATTTTCAGTTTATGTCTTAATCTTGTTGATTCTTTTTTTTTGTTTTTGTTTTCCTTTTTAGCTGTTAAAGGTCGAACAACAATTGAATTAACAAAAAAAGAAGGTTATCCACTTGGTTTAACTATATCAGGCGGGATTGATAAAGCTGGTAAACCACGTGTAGCACAACTTAAACCAGGTTCAATTGCACAAAAATCTGATACGTTAGAAATTGGTGATATATTAATTGGTATAAATGGTATTAAAACAGCTGGTCTTAAACATGAACAAGTTATTGATTTAATTAAACAAGTAGGAGATCAATTAATATTAGATATTGAATATGATTTACCTAAATGGCGTATGTATATAATAATAATAATTGTTTTTTTATGATTTTTATATTGACTTTTATTTTGAAGCTATACATGCAATTAATACAGTACATACAAAAACGATACAAATTCAATTAGAAAAAGAAGGACAAAGTTATGGTTTTATTTTACGTGGTGGAGATTCAGATGACAAAAGTAAAACACGACCACTTATTATTACAAAGATACGACCACAAGGACCAGCTGATAGGTAGAAAATGTCTTCTTTTCTTTGAATAGAATATATATATATATGTATGTTTTTTTTTTCTATCGTTTTTTAATTTATTAATAGAGAAGGAACACTTAAAATTGGTGATCGAGTGTTAGCTATAAATGGAATTAATGTTAGTGGAGCAACATTACAAGATGCACATAAACTTATGAGACAATGTCGTGGTACAACTTTATTTCTTATTGAATATGATGTTGCTATTGTTGGTAAGATTTATTGAAATATAACAATATTAATAAAGTTTAGAATAAGTCAGTTTGTTACTTTTTTGTTTTTGTTGTATTAGATTCTTCATTATAGAAAATTGATTAGAAACCTTAGTATAGAAATAATTGTATGTACTCAGATTTTATGATATGAAGAAATTAATAGCTCAATATGAATAGTAACACATGTAATTTATAAAAACCTATATAATTGAAATCTTCGAATTTAGAAAAACAATATGATCAGTACTTGAAAGAATACTTCTGCTCTTCGGTATGGAGTGCTAAAACTATGAGTTAAGATACTCTTTTCAAATATGGACGTAGGTTTTGTTTGAGAGTAGTAAAATAATCTTTGGAAAACCCAAAAGAATTAATTTGAATGAAATTTTTTTTGTATTTTTACTATTATGATTCGAAATTAAAAGTTAGCATTTTTATTTATGTATTAGCTTGTAAATTAGAAGTTATCTGACACAATGTACTATTTGAAGTTGTTTTTCTTTGTCTTTCGAAAAGGCACTTCAATTTTCGTTTTTCTAAAATAATCATTTTTTGAAAAATCAACAAATATTTTATATTGAAAGGAGTTCTTGAAAAAATGCTTGAACAAAAGCTGCAACTTAGTTCAATATTATATTTTGTAGAGAAATATTTGCTCTAGAAAACGGCTGACTTCGATAATTTTTAGCAAGATCGAATAAAGGATTTATAGAGTAAAAAGAAAACCTGTTGACTCTCCATTAAAAATAATTTTTCTGATCTTTCAAAAAATTCCTTACTACTCTCGAACTAGAACTGAGATAAAATTTCTAAGTCCATAGTCAAAAAGAGCACAAAATTTTAGTTCTAACCCATAACTTTTAATACTTTCTAACGGGTGAAAAATGAATAAACATCTTATCTAAAAACTTTTTAATCACCTGTTACTAGCTGTAGTTATGACCAGAAGATCAATCTGACGCAAAGTTCTTTCACTCATTTATTTGAGCTGTCCATACGCATTAATTAGCCATAGGATCAGATGTATGTCACAACATGATCAGTATCCTATCGGATAGATGACCCGAGACAAACAACCGCTAGTAACTTGCTTAGGATTATACCAAGCCTTAAACAACGCAGTTACTAGAGCCCGTCGGGTTCTATCAGTCAATAATAAGACGAAGCTTTTTTTCACTATCGTACATTTCGAATTTTTGTCATTATATATTTGATTCAAAATGTTTTCTATATATATATATATGTATAGATAGTGTTAAACGTGCAGCAGGTCCACTATTAATTGAAATTGAAAAATCTTTTGGATCAACAATTGGTATTAGTTTAACACAAAAATGGACTCGAAATAATCATTCAGTTATTGTTATTGATAATGTTAAACCAGCAAGTATTGCTGATCGGTAAGATTTATTTCGAAAAAAAAAATAAATAAATTTATTTATTTATATTCAAAATTAAAAATTTTTAGATGTGGTGCATTACATTGTGGTGATCAAATAAATGCAATTGATGAAAAATCATTTATGGATATATCATTAATTGAAGCTAATACAATTCTTCAATCATGTACAAGTGATTTTTGTCGTATTGAAGTAACACCTGCAAGTGCTTTAACATCATTAAATATGATTATTGATCAAACACAAAATCGAGGTATTATAATGAATGATAATAATTATTCAACATCTTATCGTTCACCAATGCAAATGAATAATTGGATAATGAGAAATAATTATCAAAATTTAAATCGAAAATCACTTAATAAAACACGACATAATTCAATGAGTAAGAGAAATATTTTCTTTTTGTTTTTTTGAAAATAAAACCAAAAAAAAAAAAAGGCTGTGAATTTAACATACAGAAATCCGAAAAACAAAAAACTTTTTTTTCTTTCTTTCTTTTTGAATGAAACACTTATCTATAGGTGTTAAATCATTGGATAATTTATCAAACAAAATTTCACCATGGATTATTAAAACTTATAATCTTCTTGAGTTAGGTAAATTATTAAAAGAGATTGAAGAAACACAATCTATCATGATCAATTTTGCTTTCTCGTTCGGTATTACGCATGTTCATGTTTCGAACGAGAGAAGCTTATTTATATTTTTTTGCTTAAATATCTATATATTAGTTGCTTATTATTTATTGATGCTTTTTCTTTTTTTAAATTTATTTTTTTTTCTTACTTTACTAAATATTTCTATTGGATAAATTAAATTTTAATATGAAATATATTTTGTTTTGTTTTTGGGATAATAGGTTCACTTAATTCATCATATCAAACAATTTTGAGTAATCAAATGTGTCATATAGAAATTATGGAATGTATTCTTCAATTTGATCCATTATTCTCAAATAGAATTTCAACAGATGGAGAAACAATTAGTTGTTTTGGTTTTACAATTCAAGGTACTTCATTTATATCAGATGTACTTATGCAACCACCTATTATTGGATATTTGGAACCAGGTGGTGTTGCTGAAAGGTATTGAAAAAAAAAAGCCAATATGAATTATTTATGTATCCTTAATACCTTCATAGAACAATAAAAGAAAATGACAACGAAGAGAAAGAGTTTTTCTGCATCCATATGTATAAAGTGAGTGTTCTATGTGATTATCAATGTTCACACGATATACAAGACTTAACTTCTTCGATCAGTAGATTGACACTACTTGAGCTATATACTATTTTGTTGATAACATCTATTATATTCACACAGAAGTTATACATTAATGTTTCATTGATAGCTACTGAAGAACATAGGTTCTTTTTGGATTAATGCATTTTGATTTGATTTTGTTCATTAGTCAGAAGTGTTGAGTGTCTCGTTAGTCGATACCTAATCTAATAGTACGATTTCATAGCTGCTGGCAGTCCAGGGACGCCATTCATTTCTTCTATACAGTCATAGGAGCTCGTAGGTGTCTATGATATCTTCAATAGGCAAAAATAATACGAAATGTTTATCTGATATGAATGCGAAGTACAATTTAATTTATTTTACTAAGTCATCACTTGTAACTGAAATAGAGCAAAAATATTAATATAGTTAAACAAAATATTGTGTAGTATTGTTTTGTTAATTACAAAGAGATTATATTTTGAATATCAAGCGAAAATATGTTTGATCAGACTAAAAACTGATTCTTCGAGATTATAGGTTCTTTTTAGGTTATGTTATATACGATGCAAAAATAAATCAAAATTTAATCTAATTGCTCATATATATTCTATTGATTTAGATCAGGTATTCTTCAACCAGGTGATCGTATTCTTACAATAAATGGACAATTATTAGAAGGTATGACATTAGAAGATGCTCGATCAATAATTAAACGATCAAATCATCAAATTCATCTTGAAATTGAATTTGATGTTGCTGGTATGTTAATTATTTCTTTTTAAATGATTATGTTTTTTTTTTCTTTGTCTTATTAATAAAATTAGATTTTGTTATGCTTTCATCGGGAGTTTGTGAAGTAAAACTTTTAAGAAAAAATCTTGATCTTGGTTTATCTGTAACATGTATATAATTATTTTTAATTATATTTTAAACTAGAAAAAATTTTTTCGTTTACAAAAGATTCTCGTTCATCTCAAATTGATGAAATTCCAATAATAAGTGATGTTAAACGTGGTAGTGTAGCTTATCGTTGTGGAATGATTCAAGCAGGTGATCATCTTCTATCTATTGATATGCATTCATTACGTGGAAAAAGTTTAAATGAAGTTTCATTATTATTAAAAAATTGTGATGATATTGTACGATTAAGAATAAAAAAAGATGATATCTATTCACAAGATAATCTTTGTGAAAATGTTATTGTTTATAAAGTACAATTACATCGACAAGGGTAAAAACAAGAAAAGAAATAAGATATAGTTATAATTATTTGATCTATTTTTTGCTTTCCTAGTGGTCCACTTGGTTTAACAATAGCAGGTAGTGAAGATGTATTTGAACCAATTATTGTTTCGGATCTATGTGAAGGTGGATTAGCTGATAAGTAAGTTTCATTTATACAATAAGTATGAAAATAAGTTGTTAGCACAATTCTGATAGTAATTAAAATATGAAACACGATATAGCTAATCATAGAGAGATTGTTTTATTCTATCTATCTTCGGACACATTTCTTTCCTCTGTAAAAATACAACAAGGAAGTAGTTAATATATTGTAACGAGCCATTATTGATATATGGTCGATGATGTTATCTTGCTAGCATCTCTCATGGTCTATGGGGGGAGATGCAAATTTCCACCCTATATACTTCAACATTCTTTTTAGATCCTATTTCACAATAACTGTGATAGATGTTAAGATACGATCACAGATCATATATGAGCTACGTTCTTATTGTATTTCTGAAGGATTAAGCAGATCGCCTCGCTGCTTTTCAGAAATGGCTCGACGAAAAATTAGGAAACTTTCAAAGACAGATAAATTTCAACAAGTCGAGCAAAATTTGTCATAAAATCGAAATTTCCAAATGTTTTCTTCAGGGAGATATGAATTTTGCAAAGACTAAAAATGGCTATAAGTTCTCTTCGCAAAACTCTATACTTTATTTTTTTCTAGCTGCAAATTTTGTGTATGATAACTAGAATCAAATCGGGATAGGCGTTTTTTTTCCTTCAAAAATATTGTTCCTAGAGCGTAGGAGAAGCAAAATATTTGAAGTACCGTCGAAAAACTTTTTGTATCAATGGTAGTGCCGAATTTCGTAGAAAAAACATTTTGAAGAAATAAAAGCACACGTCTCAATTTGATCAAAGTACTCATATAAAAATTGAGCCCAGTCGGACATCCCGTGTACGAAGAAAATAAGGAAAAACTTTTTTCTTCAACTAAAGTCATTATGATTAGGAAAATTTTGTATAGAAAAGAATAATCGTAGCGTGATCTATTCTGCTAGAAGTTTCGAAAGTTAACTTTAATAAAAACACTAAATAACAAAGAAGATCGCTCATTTAAAAAGCATTTGACATAGAACACTTTGCGACTGTATTAAGAATGAAAAACCAAAAAAGCGATAAAGTTTCGATTTTTTTATGCCCGGAAAGGGAGAAATCCGTTGAGTGAAACAATGATGAACAATTGTATCCCAAATCAATCGAATAAAACAAACTTCTAATAATTAGCAATAGCAGCAGCTACATCATGTTTCACATTTTTATCTTTCAAAGATTGTATTAATAGATTTATTTTGTTCTAAAATTTGAATTTTCTATAGAACAAATGCAATTCATATTGGTGATAGAATATTAGCAATAAATGATGTTAGTCTACGTGGTAAAGGTCTTAATGAAGCAATTAAATTATTACAAACAAGTGGTGATGAAATAACATTAAAAATTTCTCGATTAGTTAATCAACAACAAAGTATAAAATAATAATTATTATGAAATTCTTTTTTTTATTTATTTTTATAATCTAGAAGATTATACACCATCTGTGGATTCAGCTATGGAATCTTGGGATAGTTCAAATACAGATAATAGACTTAGTGATAATAGTGATGGAATAACAAAAGAAATTATTGTTAATGATCATCAACATTATCAAATACCTAATCCAAATACAAATGATAGTAAGTTGATGAAAACTTCATTAAATGTAATTGAAAATTTTTAAACAGTTTGAAAGTCAAGGAATAGCACCTCTCTCTGAAGATCAGATTGACTCTTTTAGAGTTTATAGTTATTGTACTACGTACTGCGTGCTCTTGCTTCAAAAAACAGATATTCATTTTCCGTGAAGTTTTAACTAGTCCTTCCGAAAGCACATAATCTATGGTTCACACATTTGTGTTTCAGGTGATTTTCTTCTTAAGCATCAAATACATTCAATACCGATAACAACTCTAAATGGTAACCGTCCATTGGTAATCTTTCCATCGACATGTGTTTATCGAACGCCACCGTCTAATGGTCGACTACGTGAATCAATACGTCATCCGGATCATGAACGACAAAGTTCATGCATTCTAAATGATAAACCAATTGGAACAAATATTTATGATGCAAAATATGATAATTATACAAAAGATCGTTTAACAAATGATTCAATAACAGTTATACTTAAACGTGATAAACGTGTACTTGATTTTGGTTTTTCAATATCTGATCGTCTTTATGGTACAGGTGTTTATATAAATAAAATTCGACCAAATGGACCAGCTGAATTAGAAGGAACATTAATACCATGCATGAGAATTTATAAAGTATTTTCATAGGAAAACAAGAACAAAACCTAAACCAAATAATTCTTTTTTTATTTATCTATTTTAGGTAAATAATACTGATGTAACACGTTTGGAATGTAATCAAGTTGTACCATTATTATCATCATCATCCGATGATTTAATATTAGTTGTTGGACGACGACCAGCACCAATGTTTGATGAAACAGATGAATTATTTGATATTGATGAAAATGAAGGTGAACATCGATCATCTATTATTACTGATACATCCATAAATGAAAATCAAATATCAATTGTAAATGATAATAATATATATTCTCGTCTTTCACAATCAAAAACGAGTATTGTATGAAATAGAATCAAAAAATCTTCAGCATGGTCACAACTAGTCAATTGCAAAGAAAACAAAAACAACAACAACAACATAAACTTATTCTCACATTTTATGTAAAATTCTTATTAAACATATATTTACATTTTTAATGTGGTTTGTTTTTTTTTTTTTTTATTTCGATGATAAAGATGTATAAAAAAAATCATTTGTATCAAGATAATGTTCATTTTCATATGAATATGTACATTGCCATGAATAAGTTCGTTGTTGAATTGGAATATTTTGTCGTTGTTGATCAATATATTGAAAAAGTAATCGATAAAAACATTGATCACATGAAAGTGCTAAACGTTGATTATCATATAATTGTTCATGAAGATATTTATCATTATATAATGTTAATAAAAATGGAAAATATTCAGTTTCTAATAATTTAATTTCCCAATCAATAAAATTTAAACGACAACGACATATAAAACATTGTGGTCGTGGTCGACGAAAATTTTTTATTTGTTTTTTATATTGATCAATTAAATTATAATAACATAATGTACATATATCAATTTGTGTTGATAATAAAAATTCAAATTGATTTTTAAATATTGTATATAATGTACCATGAGGTTTTATTGATAAACATAAATGACATGAATCATATGCATTTTGTTTTGTTGATGATATTAATGATGTATAATCAGATAGAAAACGTGTACGAATTGTTGTTAAATATGAATCTAATGATGACATTTCATCGAATATATGAAAATCAAGAGAACTATATAATCAAAAACAAAAATATTTATTAGATAAAGTGAATAATATTTAATACAAAAAATACAAAATCAAATGTAAAGATTTAATTCCTGTGCACTCGGAAACATATACTACATTTAATCGATAGAGTTTAGTGAGTAGATAATAGAGTAGTTCGAGTTAGTGGATCTTTATTGCTAAGATATTGAAGTTTTAGTAGATTTTTCCTGCAGGATTACAGTTTTCAAGCAAAATTATACTTTTAAATTTTCACCTGAAACTTTATCAAACCATGGTGAAGTTTTTTCTACAAGTTAGTCTAATCGGAGCTATTATGTAGGTAAAATTTCAGGTCAAAATTCAATATCCCGACAACAAAAGTTCATTAGTTCGAACTACTCTTGGATGTTTATCTACTGACTAGTCTTCATCGATTGAATATAGTACTAATTTAAAAGCGATTTATCACTGCAAAATCTTCCTTCGCAAGAGAAATTTGTTCTAGTAGGACATCTTTTGAGATTTATAATTTATTTTATTTATGTTTTGGTTAATTTCTAAAGTATAGATTGAATAGTTCTTAGAATGTGCATTTTATAGTACACGTCAATAAAATGTTAACTTGAAATTTTCGAATTCAATTTTTTTCTATATATATACGTTGTATTAGATTTTGTACAAGAATCATAAATCTTGAAGATAGATTTATCAATCGTTATTGTCACAGACTTTCTCTTCGAATAATATTCCTCAAAAGATTTGCAAAATTCATTATGTGTTCAAATTTTACCGAGCTTTTTGCTATATCAAATGTTTGTACAACAGTAATTTTCGTTGAGAATAAATAAAATGCAATTAATTATTTAGTGTCTTTTGTTTTTTTTTATTAATCTTTCATCGAAAGTTAACTTTATGAAATATTTTTTAACATTTCGAAAATTTCATCATCTGTAATCGAAGATTAAGGGTATCCTCTAGCCTTCCTGAAGATTCTCGAGAAAATTCGATAGATCTTGATGAGTAGAGCGAAAGTTTTCATAGACTCAAAGTTTTCGGATTCTGTCTTCTATGAGATAATGGGATCACAATGGCGAAAAATGGCTACTTCGTTTCTACGATCAAGCTGGAAATTTCTTTTTTCAAGCACTAGACACTATTTGCAGTAGGAATTGTTTTTTTACTTTTTAGTCCTTCTAATAAAAAAGCCAAAATATCGAAAGTATCTTAAGAAACGAATATGTTTTTTTAAATAAAGCTTTTCTGTAAGAGTTAACAAAAAGATGTCTATCCCAAATAATGTATAGTGTGTGTGACAAAGATTTCAGCTCGACTAGATATACTAGGCTAGAGAAATAGGAATGTTACTGCGTATTTTTTTTCATGAAAAAGTATTCGATTTGAGAAAAACGTGATTTGTTGTTTCATCTCTCCTCAAATTTTTCTAATGTTTAAAGATAATTTTTGAATCTTAAAATTTACTCAATAGATATATACTACTTCAGACTATAAAATAGCCACAAAAAACATCAATTAATTTTTTTTTTCTTTGAGTTATCGAAAACTATATGAAATTAAAATGATAATTTTTGTTGAAGAAATTATTTACTTATTATTAGTAGTTGTAGTAGTTTTACGTAATGGTGGAGGTATTGATCTTGATTGTTGTTCTATTGATTTATCTGTTTCAATAATAGCAATCGATTGTGAACTTGATGATGAAGGTGTTTCTTCTATTGATGATTCTTTATCTAAAAAGAATTAAATTTTAAATTAAAATTTTCATTGGACTTGTTTGTTTTTGTTTTGTTTACCTAATGATTGTTCTTTTTCATCAATAGAATTTGATATTATTTTTGTTGATAATCCAATATTAGTATGACATGAACCTGTTGATCGAAAAAATCCTTTGAAAAAAAAATTATTTGTTGTATGATTTAATTCTCGTTGTTTATCAAGTAATAATGCACATAAATAACAAGCTCGAACATGATGTGTACTATCATTTATTGATAAAGCACCAGGTGCCGGTGGTAAATTACGTAAAAAACTATAACCATTTTTTTCAATTGATATTAATCTTGTTCGTCCTAAATAGCCACATAAATGACATACTGTTCCATCAATAGATGTATTTGTTGATGATGATGATTGTGGTACAATTTGTGGACGTATCGGTGCAATAGATTTTCGAGCACGTTTCTATATCGAAAAGAAAATATTTATTTATAAATATTAGACAAAAAAAAAAAAAGAAAGAAAAAAAATATTTATTCACTTGAATACTGGTCGTTGTTGGCATTGTAATCAATCCAGATGCAGCTATGCTGTTCTTGTGAATGATAAAGAACGTCAAATGAACAACAAACAGTAGTAACACACTTCTGTTGTTGTCGTCGTTGCCCCATCTGTCTTCCGTCATTCATTGGTACGCGTTTCATATACACACACAGCCGACGATAGTTGTGCGTTTTTTGCAAGCGAACGAGCGAACACATAAGGGTGTAAGAAAGAATGATGATTTTCTTTTTCTTCCCTTTTTCTTCTTCTTGTTGTAGGGCATGAGAAAGAAGAAACACCGCCAGATGGGCACTATGTGTCTATTACTTTTTTTTTATTTCTTTTTTTTTTTTTTCTCTATATATCTTCTGTTACATGCAACAGCCGGATTCTAAAAAAAACATAACATATATCTTTTTGGATTTTATCATAGATAGTTGAAAAAAATAATTGCAATCGTTTGTTGTCATACTATGATAAACAAATGATTCTATCGATATAGAAGATAATCATAGAAAATATTTTTCTTATCTATATTTTGTTCATTTGTTGTGCATTGCATATAAATGATTTATATAGATTGATTACTTATAAATATAGCAATTAGAGAAAAACTAAGCTAGTTGTTTTGCTTTGATGATGTTAATATAAATATATGAGTGAATTGCAATTTTTTGGTACGATTGAGTTTTAGAGGTATTTTTTGAATAATTTTTTTTCTCTTCAGCCGATTTAAACAATTTTTTTATATGATATTAGGCCCTAAGTGTCCCACATATACACAAAATTTCAGCTCTCTATCTTGTACTAAAGCTGAGTTATGACGGACACATTTCACTAAAATGTCATTTTTTGATGATACGTGCAAAAAAGAACGGATAATTTGTCTATAAGAAGTTAAAAAGAAGTAAACACAAATATCATAATTTGTTCACCTTCCAGCGCTCTATCAAAATATATTATTGGTTTAAATTTTATCCATCCTCCAATCACTTGTCTAACGTTCATACTGTTTGACAGACACTTATCTATATTTGTGTAGAACGACATAAACGCTTCTGTAGTTTCTGCTGTGGTACAGCTAGCAGTTTGCAGACTACATAAAAAGAAAAAGAACTGTTCCAGTAACAAACTAGTGTAAAAAAGTTATACTTTATCAACTTCATTTTAGTACAAAAATAACAAGACTTTAAAAAAAAATATGATTATACTCACTTTGTAGAACGACATTTTGAGAATTGTGTATTTTATAACTCTCGAACAGATACTCCGTTTTCGCTAAAAATTTTACAGAACATAGGGAACAAAAAGTTCCATAAGTGATAAAAATTTCAGCTCTTGATCTTGTACTGTTCAAGAGAAATTCACAATATACTGAAAAATGTAGAACGACATTTTTTCTTAAAAAATGTAGAGTGACGCTTTTTGAAAATTACTTTGTGTATAACTCGTGAAAGGCTCGTTTGTTTTCGCTCAAATTTTTACTATAGATATATTTCTTAGTTTTACATTATCGGTAAAAAATTTAACTTTCTATCTCTTACCGTTTTCAAGATATTTACATTATATGATGAACTCTAAAATGACATTTTTCATGAAAATAACGTTTTTTTATGGTACATTTACGTTGAAGTAAGTCGTATCTCAGCTAATATGCGGTAAAGTGTTGGGAAACTTTCGCTGTATACTACAGACATAGAGCCTAACAAAATGCACTACTCAAAAGTTGTTTAGGTTCACTTTCGTTTTCTCTCGTCAATCGTACCAAAAAGTTGCAATTCACTCATATATTATATCTGATGTTGATCAGTTGGTTTCAATTCATTTTAAATCATAATTAAACGAAAAAAAAATTTTTTTTTAAATAAATATCGATATTTTGCTATTTATTAGATACAATAAGAACTGCATGACATTCTTGATATACTCAGAAATAGGAATATCGAACTAAATAATCTAAAACTTTCAATGAAATAAAGCTTAATCTA